CATCCGAAAGACCGTGCTTCGTGAGCTGCCGTGAGGACCGGGCTTAAATACCGCTGATAGCACCCCTTGGAAACCCAGATGTTCCAAAATTGGATTGTGTAATAGGAATGAGGTGAACCTCATTATCTTTCCTTGTGGGCTGGCAGGAAGGCAGATTCAGCGCTTCTGATTCTCCATAAACCCGTGGCTGCAAGAAGTAAACAGCACTTCTTGGCCTTTAAGTGCTGCAATTTTGCATCAATACTTAACAGTTTTTAGAAAAAAACAATGGACTGGTGCCAGGCAGTTAGTGATCTCACACTACCACAAGTGATGTCATCTGCTCAGGTAACATTTAAACCAGCTTTGTGCTCTTGCAGGTGTTGGCACGAGATGCAGGGCAGGGGTGAACCAAGCCTGGCTTTCTGACTTCCTTCTCACGTGCGGTGATGGAGAGCCCTGTGCTGCAGTTGTGGTTGTGACGGTTACAGAAACCAAGACCTCTGCTCTTGCGTCCTCTGTGCACAGCTTTCCTAACCGCCAAGTGAAGCGCAGGCGGCTGTAAACACAACTTGCATGTCTGCAAACAGCAAAGACAGTGCTTGCTTAATTGTGTTCTGGTGCACCAAGATAGGATGAAGGATGTTCTATCTTGGTTACTGGCTCAATGTCTCATTGCTGGCATGGCACCATTCTCCTACTGTGCATTTCCCCATACGCCCTCTTTTTTCTCAAGGTTCACTCCATTGAAGGTCCTGCTTCTGCAGATGCTTTCACCTGAGAGTAATTTCATGATGTTAAATGAGTGTAACCCAAAACACGTGTGCCAGCATTTTGGAGACAATATAATTAGCCTAACAGTGCACCTGGTTCAGCCACCAAACCCAAGATATGCTAGCTGGAATGTTAGTGCAGCTAAAATAGCATTGAATTCGTTAGCAGCATTCAGCTGATAAAAACACAACTCTGATCTTAGAGGGGATGTGATAGTCAATATTAGATAAAGGTGCAAAGATAAAAATCACTAACTGCTTCAGAGGTTCCTGTTTCTGAGCAAGGTTGTGTTTATTTACTGAACTCTGGTCCTAATGTCAGCTTTTTGTTCACAACACTTTGTGAAAGGGAGTAAGAACTGTGGAGAATGCTTTCATTTGTTTTCTTTTAGGAGGAACCAACATAGGTCTCCAGGGCTGTGAGTTTTTTTTTCTAGAGCCACATAGATATTTTTATGTATTTTATACTTTTTAGTATGAAAAAATGACAGCAGTCATTTGGTTTTTCAGACATAAACCATTAATTTCTCCGATTCTCAACAAAACTTTTAAAATGTAGTTCATGCTTGTATCTCATTGCTGTTCTTACCACAAAAAGAGTGTAACTGCCCTATAAAGGTTGTCTTTAGGTTTTTTTCCAGTATAGAAATACTGAATTTCTTTCATCCAGATATGCTATGTATCAGTCTCCACAGGTGCCTGTGGAAGACGATAGTTCCCTCATGCTTCAATTTACAGCCAGCTGTTTAAGATACACTGGCATCTCTCATAGAATGTTCCTGTGGACCTTCCTTTGGGATCTTACTAGAAAAGCAGAGGGATCTGGCTTACAAACTCTACACTTCTGTATCTGTTTAATACTGACTTTCTGGGAAATCAGGTTATCCACATTAGATAATGTAGGGAGAGATCCTGACTCACAATTAAGACTGTAATAGGATGCAGTAAATAATCTGTCAACTTGATTCCTGCCTCCTGAATGTGCAGTTGTAAGTGGTATGGCACTAGTTTGGTTAAGGTTGTATAAACCAAGGATACGTTAAATTCAGTGCAGATTTGTTTATGGATTTTGGTGGCAGGGTGGTGCTGGGGTTAAAAATTTAACTGAACAGTGAGAAGTTGAGGCCTATCCGAAATGTAAGAAATCAAAGTAAACCAGGGTATAAGCACTTATTCTTAGAGGCATAAGCTGACCTTTAAATGTTCCTAAACATACAAAAACCTGACAACAGAAAATAAAGGCTTCCTGTGACAGGGAGAAGTTAACCTTTGATCCAACTAGTTAAACAGTATAGAAGTCCTGTCAGTCACAACAATGGCCTTGAGTTTCCCATCTCAACAAGGATTTTAACAAGAACATACAGAATTTCATGTGGAAACCACCTTAGGAGACCCTAATGAACAATATGCTTGCTTGGTTTTGAGAGCATACGTTGAAAGAGCAAAGAATTACTGACTTGTAAGTAGCGAAAAAGAGGCTGATAGGGGTATCGCATCCCTCAGACTGTCTGGATAAGACGACCTTACACGAGCACATACTGAGCTGATCCCACAGCACTGTTCTGTATCCCAGATGAGACACTGGTGATCCTGATGATTTATGTATTGCATAAATTCATGACAGCCTGGGACAAGCAGGTATCTTGGATCTGTGAACATTCACCAGTCTTCTTGGGGATTATAATCCTTCTTACGTCACTTATTTTAGTTTGAGGTAGGGCTTTGCTTTTGGCCTTAGCTAGGGACCAGCTTCAGTTCTTCTAGGGAAAACACATGCAAGCAGATTGTAGTCTGGACCATAGATTAAAAGACAATCGAGCAATTGCATCCTGTCTTACTGTTATAGTGGACTGGACTCTCATCTTCTGTAGGTCATCCCTTCAGATGACCTTAATATACCAACGATTAACACCAATATGGAACCTGCAGCAGCAGTCACTTCAGGGCTGGTGATAATGCTCTGAATAATCTTAGCGTATGGCTGGTAAACCAAGCTTTCTTCACTGCCTCTGCTAAGTATAGCTGTTTGTACATAATACTCACTTCGAAACGGGAGTTATATAGAAAAATAATGAAAATACTGAATATATATTCAGTAAATATTGAATTACTTACATTTCAGATGAAAACCTAAGTAACAAGGAAAGTTAAAATTGTTAACTGGAGAAGTGCATGAGTTTATTAGGACTAAAAGCAACTGTTTTTTTTTTTTTAATCCAGCTAAAATTATTGATATAAATAGGCTGTAATATGCTATACTAGATACAACATAAATGGGATTTAAAGGCAGAATGTTACAGAGACAGAAAGCTGGAGATACGAAGATAACATTCTTCAAATACATTAAATGCAAGAAGGCTACACGTGCTTTCTTTGGTGTATTGATTCTTGTACTTGATCTTGCATTGACTGAATGCAACACTTTAACACAGAAAACAGTATTTTACAGTTGAAGGCATATCCTCAAATAGACATATTCTGCACAAAAGCAGGACTGCATGTAAACTGGACTTAAAACCAGAGACTTCTTTCTAAGAAGAACAAAGTCCCTGGTACATATTTTGACTTTATCTACAGTGGCTAAATATCTCAGTGTTTTCTATAAGTGTGCAAAATGGTGCATGCAATACCACATCAGCTATTGGATTAAGAGCAGCAGGAAAGTGCCACTTCATTGCATATGCCTAGTCATTACTTTGTAGAGGGCATGTACCAACACGTAATAAAAAAAAATCTTTGTCAAAAGTCACTGTTCTACTTTGAGCAGGAGGCAGAGTAAAAAAGGGTCATTTCAGATGGCTTATTGGGACACGTGTTCAGAAGAGAGGTGACCTTTGTGAAACAGATTCTTCAGCTTGATACCTCTTAAGGTGGGGGAAGTCATCACAGTGGCTTCTGAAAACTGTGCTTAACTCCAGTGGATTTTCTAATGCTGTCAAGGACTCTTAACAGTATGCCGAGACCGAGTTAAATTTAGGTACAATGAAATACTTGCCTATCTAAAAAACAGCAGACTTGCATGATCAAACAGTTAAATTGTTCTAAATGGAAATTACATTATGGAGATCAATACCATCATGATATCAAGAGGATACTCAAATGGAAAACTCTCCTCAACTCTGTTGTGCTTTGCACTTAGCACCTTCCTTCTCAGAGCTCTTAGTATGCTAATACTAGTGAATTTAGCCTCACAACATAGAGTGAGGTAGGTAAGTTTACCCCCATTTCACAGATGGGAAAACTGAGGCAGAATTGTGAAGTGACTTGCCCAAGGTCCTGCAACTTGTCAGTGGTAAAAACAGGAATATATTTTCAGAAGTCCAGATCCCAGACCTCTGTCTGATTAAAGTCCCTCCCTACTACCACAAAGCAAGCAATACATGCAACTTTTTTTCCTCCTACTGCTGCCGTAGTCCTGGTGACAGAGGAAGTGAATGATTTTTCTTGATTGAATTCCCGCTTTCTTTGGCAAAAAGCACCTGGTTCTGTCAAAGTGCTGTATTATGCGCTTCGCAGAGGCATTTCTTCTGAGGCACAATAGAAAAAAGATGTTTTCCCCATGTCAGGGAGACTGTACAGGTCCAAACAGAGTCTTATTTCTTGCAGAAGACCTGCTGCTTGGCATTCTTCACACGTTGTTCCTCCTTCAGGTTCTTCTGCCGTGCTTGTTTGCTGGAGATGAGTTCCACGTGTTCTGAGGGGAACCAGCCTCTCTCCCGGTCTGAAAGTTTCACTCCTTCCATCCATCCTGTGGGAAAAGCACAACATAAGGCAGAACAGTCAAACGTTTTTTCATTCTTCCCAAAGAGCCCCTTCCAACAAGGCCCAAAGATCAAACAAAAAGATCCCCTTTCAGCTTCCAAATAAAGCATCTTAATCAAGAGTCTCTTCATCCTCTCAATCCAAAAATCACGAATGAGAAGCTCCCTCTGAAGCCTGTTTGTGTTTATTAAACTACTAGAGTAACTTCCTACCCATAATTTAAGATAGCCACAGTTCATTCTGCTCACCATCATTGCTGTACTGCATAACCATGATGATATCTGCTTTCTCCAAAGCCAGCTCATCATTTTCCCGAGCCTTGTAAGTCTTTATGCATTGAACCTGTGGTGCATCTAAAGGGGAGGAAAGATCATAATGTTATACTAGAACGCAACAGTAAACCTGTGTGCATCAGCCCCAGAGGTGGTAGGGCCTAAGGGACTGCCCAAACACTAAAAAGCAAAGAACTGGAAGGGAGGCTACAGGTCTTCTGCCTAATATGAGTAAAAATAGGTAAAATAACTGGCAGAACCTGGCACTGAGGGAAAGCCCATGAGTATCATCTTTATTTACAAAAAGGCAAGTATTCTGCCGTGGAATCACTCTGGGATGTTCCACCTCACAGTGACTCCAACTCCACTGAGCCAGCCCACCCCCATCTCACCAGGGCATTCCAGGAGGTCCAGTTCTCCTCGTGGAGGAGCCAAAGCAGAGATCCACCTCAGCTTCTCGCTGCTGGAAGACATCACCAGACAGGTGTCAGGATTGAATGTGAGGGACAGCAGTCTGATGACAGGAATGGGGGGGGGGGTGTGGGGGTGTGCACGTACAGGTTGCTCACAGGAGGGAGTACTGAGGAAGCAGAGAAAGTGGAAGTGGAGAAAGGGGACGGGAAAAGGCAAAAACTCCCCTTCTTGGAGGATGATGGTATGACATAACATGGTAGTACTGTATGAGCAGCTATGATGACAGAGAAGCATGGTGGTTCACTAGGGGCTTGTTATGGCAAGAGGATGTTTTTCAAGTCCTCTGTTCAACGGCTGCATTTGATATTTTAGCATTTGGGTAGCTGAGGCACAACCATCAGGCTCCTAAGAGGTGTCTGCCTATGGTAATGGGATATACTGAGGGTAACCTTGAGCTCTTACTGTGTCTCTGTACGAAATAAAAACTCCACTCTCTTTCCTTGGTAATTCTGAAGTAGAAAGAGACGGAAGACATTTTTGTTTGTTCCATGCAGTTTCATCTCGCACTTCTCCCCACGCACATCTGAGAAAGCAGCATGATCAAACACAACAAAACGGCCACCCCTGCAGGTAAAGAGGAGGAACAAAACAAGTTGTGAGTTTTAAGGTGATGAGGGGTCCATGCTGTTTTCTGATGTCAGGAAAGCAAAAAGCTCTTAATGAGTCTTCATCTACTTCCAGTACCTTAAGCTTTGTCCTTGCTAGAAGTCTCAGAAGGCCAGAGAAGAGAGAGGGGACTTAATGAAAAGGGTAGAAATACTAAGCTCTGTCCTGTCAGAATTTTATTTGATAGCTTACAGCTTAAAAACAAAACCACCACCCCTCAAACCCCAACACAACCATCCAACAACTCTCTTAGTTTCTTGACAAACCAGTGATTTGCACATTCACTAATCTTCACACTGTCCTTTAAGAAGAATTTATTTACCAAGTAAAACTAGAATAAATGATTATTATTAAAGTGCTTCACATTATAGGGATGGAAAGGCAGAACAGAAGTGTTGCACTAGGGACCAGAAGATAACTTGTTATATTATCATATGTTGTCATTAAAGAGTTAGGACTATCAGATTCCACATACTTGCAGGATACTCACATCATGTGGGGTTAGGAGAGTGACTTGACAAATGCTGCCACTTGCTGGCAGGCAGAGGGAAAGGACTCTCTCACCAAAGCACAGACCCAGAAAGAGACAGGTATTTTAGAAGGGGCAGCAAGAATTGTGTTGAAGCACTCACTCCTTCGGCCGAGACAGGAGCAGACAGTCATTGAAAAGATGTAGGTAGATGGGACGGGTGGTAACTTTCCATTTTGGACTCAGGGTGTTGAAATCCAGTGCTGTCAACTCGCCACACTTCACAAGTCGCCTCGACTGTGAGATGAGAGGGAATATCTGCAAGACAGAAATAAAGATTTATGTCAAGTGTGTACGAGGAAATCGGTATCCATGAGTTTTGGATCTGCATTTTTGCCTTTCTCTAAAGGAAGTGTGCTTTCACCTCTCCAGCTGGACAGGTGTAAGTCCTGGTAGGCACCTTCAGCTGAAGGCTGACATGAACAATTCGGGAAGGGAAACACTGATGAAGAGCTACCTGTGTATGATATTCTGGTTCAACAGTTCTGTATATATTCGAGAGGAGAACAAAAAGTAAGCACAAGTGACTTTGTGGGGAAAGACAGAAAATACATTAGGCTAGAGCAAGGCTCAGGGAATGGACGAGCTTACTTTGCACTCAAATTCAATCTTCTGGCTGAGGTAGATCAGCTCTTCAGTGCTCTTCATGCGCTGGACATTTTCATTGCAATCCTTGATGAGCTGCAGAGGAAAACAGACAAGCAGTGAGGTGGGAGCAGAACTGCCTGGTGAGATCAGTACTACTCCCAGGAGCCCCTCAAGAGCCAGTGTAAGTGACAATTCCTTAGGCATCTTCCTGCAAAAAAAGTATTTTTCCAGGCAAGCATACTAAACTTCTCCATACCTACAGTGACCATCCTTCTCTGTTAAGGAAGATATTCTTTAGATGAAGTCTCTGTGATAAGTACCGTTTTAACTTTGGGATACTGGGGGAAATACTAGAGACATCTCTCTCAGGTGACAAAGGCTGAATTGCTGGTCATTTGGAAGCAGCTCTTATTAGATGCTCCACTGTGAACACAGGAGGCTGATTAGATGCACAACATCAGCCTTGATTTTCCACAACCCAGAACTTACTGTCAGTACCTGCGAGGACAGGATACAATGAAACAGAGGTACTTCAGCCTGTAAGCTGCCTATGTAGCTACCTGATACAGGGCAGCTGCATAACAACGTCACAGAGACAACGCTGGCTTGAAGACAGCTGGAGCCTAAGCATTTCAGTGTATGACATCTTGCCCACCCACCTCAGACTGCAGTGCTTTGGGAGCTGTTCGATATCAGGTTCATCACATCCCAGCTGGCTCCTGCTTTAGTGTTTTCTGCTCACAGCTACCACTGCACATGCAGGAGAGTCATATGAACACACTTATTTGTTACTCATAAGGGTCAATGAAAAGGACTGGGCCACTTCGGTGCCCTGCAGCTGTGTGATGCAACATGGCTGTGGAGAATCACAGAATATCCTGAGTTGGAAGGGACCACGAGGATCATCGAGTCCAAATCCTAACTCCACACAGGCCAAACTAGAAGTTAAACCATGTATCTAAGAGCACTGTCACACACTTCTTGAAAACTATTAGGTTTGGGGCCATGACCACTTTCCTGGGGAGCTTTTTCCAGTGCTTGACCACCCTCTCAGTGAAGAACTTTTTCCTAATACCCAATCTGAACTTCCCCTGACACAGCTTTAAGCCATTCCCTTGCGTCCAGAGGAAAGAGATCAGCACCTCTCTCTCTGCTCCCCCTCATGAGGAAGTTGTAGACAGCAATGAGGTCACCCCTCAGTCTCCTCTAAGCTGAACAAACCTAGTATCCTCAGCTGCTCCTCCTAAGTCTTGTCCTCTAGTCTTTACACCGCCTTTGTTGCCCTCGTTTGGACACATTCTAATATTTTTACATCCTTCTTACACTGTGGAGCCCAAAATTGCACACAGTACTCTAGGTAAGGCCACACCAATGCTGAGTATAGTTGGACAATCACTTCTTTCAACCAATTAGCTATACTGTGCTTAATGTACCCCAGGATACAGTTGGCCCTTCCTTTTGGCTACTAGGGCACATCGTTGACTCGTATTGAGGGTACCATCAACCAAAACCTGCAGATCCCTTCCTGCAGTGCTGCAGAATGGATTGATGGCCTTACCTTTTCAAGTGCATCGTACGCCTGTGTCGCTTGCACTTCCTCCTCAGACCCAGGGCGAGTTCTCTTCAGGATATTCTGCATGAGAAAAGATGTTTTTCATAATTCAAACAGGGAAAGCTGGACATACACATCTGGGAGGGGTAGGAGAAACAAGGAGACACCAAGATGCCAGCCTCAAGGGAAACTAAAGCAATGGTAGGTGATGAGATGCAGAGATAACAAGGCTGGAAATTTGACACGCAGAATGTCACTGATAAGCTGCATTGCTCAGGGCATCCCTGAAAATCTAAATCTTACTATCTCACGTACAAGTTACATGGCATAGGAAGCACAACAGCCCTTTGCACAGAATTGTTCTTTGCCTGACACTCCTTTTCTCCTGTTAAAAAGGCTCAAATAATCAAAAAGAAAAGTTTCATAGAAAGAGCTCAAAATTAATTCATTAGGGGCTTCCTGGTTCCCTGTCTGGAAGGCTCCTATTGGTCAAAGTTGCAGGCAAACAGTAAGAGACAGGCTGCCTTCCAGAGGGCAGCCAAGGAACCCAGCAAGAAGTCAAAAAAGTTCAATAAAATGTAAATCAACATGTTTTGAGAAGACTCCATAAATTAATTATTGGAGTACAACTGAAGCAGTGTTGCAACAAAGCCCTAACCGGTATACAAACTGCATTGCCTCACACGGGCCATCATATCCAACTCATGGTGCTGGTCGAATGCATAGCAGGCATTTGTACAATGACAAATGGGTTTGTTTTTGCAAAGGCATATTCATAATGTACACAGAGTGGCTTTAGAGCATCTTGCCAAACTTGTCACGGCTGCAACACAAAGGGCTGTACGCAGTCCTTCCACCCAGTGCTGGAGCTAGCTCATATTTGTATGACTTTCAGACTTGAAGAAGGGTCAGCTTGAGAGAAACTGTAGGAAAGCAAAGAATCAACAGTTACCTGTAGGAGGAGTTTAAGTCGAGTGATGCGCTGAAAAGGGAGGATGAGGAAGGATTTAAGTGAGAGGCGCTGGCATACTGGATCACTTTCCAGTCTCTCCAGGACTTGCTGGAACCCTGCATTTCCATTTCTGTGGGAGTGGTAAAAGAAAGAAGATATCCAGGCATCAGAGCAAATAAAAAGTCTTCCTAATACCAGGTTTCAGTGAATGCTGGAGTATTCCTAACAGTCAGGTTTTGTTCCTGGGGCAAGAGATGTCAAGAAACTGCACCACTCTGCTGAGGCAGAGCAAGTATGGGTTTCTAACAGCGATAGGACGGCAATACAACTGTTATTATATCTTTCCCCTTTCTGTCACAGCCCTCTGGAATAAAAGCCAGAAGTAACACCTACATTTAAATTCCACTCTATCAGGAGGGCACCTTTCACAGAAACAGTGGTGGTTTGTGTTCTTCCCTTACATTGAATGGTCAGCTCCAGAGGTTGTGTTCAGGGTCAGGAAACAGCTGCCTCCCCTCTCTTGCTACTCTTGAGAGGAGCTGCCTTCCCCCCCAGTGTCTGTCTTACCCTCTTAGACACAGCCACTGCCACCCAGTTTTCCATGTTGGGCAGTAGCAGATAAACGGCTAATGGTAGGAGTGGCACTGGCCACCAAAATAGCCAACCCCATATCCTTGAAGAGATGGGGAAGAAGGTTGTAGGCCCAGTAGACATTGCCCTAGACAATATCCTGGAGGTTCTTTCTGTGTGGACTTGAGCCCTCCCTGAAGGGAAATCGATGGCAGACTAGATCTCTCCCAGTCAGCAGCACCCAGAGGCAGTGCCTGAATAGCCTGTTGGGAACAGTGTCTTCTCCTGAAATCACTATATCTTCACTAGAACTGGGCTGTTACGAAGGGAAGCAGTGCTGAAGTGGTAAGGAAACCTTGCTCAGGGCTCGGCCCATGCCTGATTAACGCACGGTTGTGCCACTGGGTACAGAGGAGGAGGGCACTCCACCATCCAGAGCAAGAGAGATGGTGTTCTCTAGCCCTGGGAATTTCAATACATTTTAAAGAATCCTGGATAGCCAGCTTAAGCTTACTGACAGCAGGCATATTTTTCTTAATTACAGAATCACAGAATGGTTGTGGTTGAAAGTTTCGCTTGAGATTATCACTTTCTAGTTCTTACTAGTCTGCAAACCACAGACTGACAACCATTATCCAGGACAGTCATTTTTGCTCTCTTCAGTAGAGGGCAGACAGAAAGAATAGGCTGCAATGGAATCAGATATTAATTATTATTTCCCTTTCCAGTGCTATGGGAGAGGAGCTTGCAGGAACTCTGTCCTGCTGTCCCAAGTGCCACTGAATTGAAGAAGGTTCCTGCCTGCTCTTACAGGGCTGTAGTGAGAGCACTGGCCAACAACCTGTACCTGCAGCATT